CTTCAACCTGAGGTATTCGCGTAGCACCAATCACAAAGTACTTGAAGAACTTTCCATCAGGCGAGCGGCCATATCCCTTCAAGGGTCCAACCACATCCACACTCAAGCTGTAGGCCATGGGGTGCATCGTGGCGCGGTGCTGCCTACCCGAAGCACTGTTCCGAACACAAACCGCGCAATCCCGGCGAAAAGGTTGGTGGTTCCGGGCCACATGCAATCTCCAAGCCGCATCACTATTCAACTTTGCCATTCTCACATAGCTATCACCCTTGAACTGGGTAATCGACGCATCCATGATGCCCATCTCATCCAAGTACTCCCGCGCATCCTTGGTGTTCGTCCACGCTGGCCACAAAGAGGCACCATCATGAACTTCCGCCTCCTTGTAAGTGAGGTCCTCAATCAACAACTTTGTAGCCCCACCACACTGAAGTGAACGACCAGCGGTGGCGATCGCATGCATCAACTGAACTTTGCTGCGGTGTAGCGCTGCGCCAGCTTGGTCCCATAGTCCATGGCCACGGTCCCGGGCCACCACAGAACTTATTCTTCCCATAGTGGCCGCCCACATCATAACCTTCCAAAGGTCCTCAAACTCGTTGGCCACCAGCAAAGTGTTCATGTTCACGTAGATGGTATCACCCACTTGACTCAGATGCCGAAGAGGGTCTGCCATGCGGTCCACCGAAGGCGAGCCCCACCTCACCACCCATGACGACGACCTGAGGAGGCGCTTCCGGGATCTCCTATTCAAACTCAATGACTTCATCAGATCCCAAATTCCTTGCTTAGGCCTTCTCACAACCAGGGCTTTCAGAAGAGTCTCCTTGTAGCCCAGGAAAGTTGCCTTTTCCACCGCCTCGCGTCCCGCTGCCACATCGCCGTCTTTCACATACTCAAGCAAGCAGGACCACCAACTGGCACGAACCTTCCTCAGCATCTGGACTGATGCTTCAGTGTTCTCTTGAAGACTGGGAAGATGGGAATCCTCCAATCTGGTAATCAACTCCCGGGCGACCTCGTCATCCACCTCCGGGCATCCATTGGTCACCGACAAAGGAAACATCTCACCATCTGGGCCTTCCAAACGACAGAACTCCGGTGTCCAATTGAGGCGGAAACCCAACGTTGAAATCACTCTTCCCAATGGCACAATAACCTGCGCCACATCATCAGGATTGAGCAACGTGCCCTTGTCCGTCTGTCTCATAGAGGCCACAGCATCACCTGCCAGCTTCACTTGAACAGCATTCGCCTTCTCCCACTCCTCCGAACTGTTCGGTCCTCGCAAGATGTGGGTGGACCCCGAGTCCATCAAGGCCGCCCTCGATCTCGGAGAAGGCGGTGTTCCCTGTGACCACCGAGACACAGCACTCATCACCGACCGGAACAGAGGTAAACACGTTACCTGATCCAACACCTTCAAGGCTTTGGTCTGAATCGCTTCACCATCAAAGGTAACCCTGCGAGCACTTGCGTCCGGAGGAGACGCCGTAGGCGAAGTAGATCCAGTCTCGCCCGCTCCTTGTGCTCCGGATTTTGGTGTTGCCACCCTCGTCGTAGAAGCTCCACCTCCCGGGGCCTTGCATTCTTTGACCTTATGGGACACCGCTCCGCAACAAAGACACTTCCGAGATCTGGCCCCTTTTTCCAAAAGGCTCCACGTGTGAGGAAAACGGCATGTATTTCCCCTTCTGCAACCTCGATCTCCAGCAAAGAACTTGCACACACCGCTGTTTGGCCTTGTAGATGGAGTAGATGTAGAGTTGTCTGGTGAAGGTGAGGGGGTAGTGGATGTGGTGGTTGTGGTGATGGCCTTCAGGGACGGCGTCGTTCCTCCTCCTGTGCTGGCGGCCCCCAATCGGGCCTGCTGCTCCATTTCTGCTTGGAGGTGCTGAAGGAAAGAGGTCACCGTCGATGCGCTCGGACTCACATCCACCTGAAGCGTGCTGCGAATCAAGCTGATGCGGAAGGAAAGTTCTCCGCTTCCTTGAATCACCGCATTGGTGATTCTGTCCAGACCCCGGATCAACACCGAAGCGTCCGGCTCCGCCATGCCAATCGTAGTCGCCCTCGTGCGCCACAAACTCCATCGCCTGAGGCCCTCCACAGCTTCCAAAGCTGTGTTACAGGGCTGTGGCTGCTCCAACATCCGCAACACCAGCCCTTTTTCTTGAAGATTCCCTGGTTGATACACTGCATACAACTTGCACAACACACTGAGGGAAGTGACCTTGCCGTAGGCGATGATCTCCTCTCTCACGGATTTCGGCACTGCCGTGAGTAACATCGCGGTTGCACGCCGCTCCACGCGGCTCCACTCCGGCTTCGACAATTCCAAGGAAGGCTGCGGCTTCAACTGAAGTCTTTCTAGAGGAGGTGCTGTACTATATCTCGAGTACCACTGCAGCGCATCCTGCATTGTCGCATGCCACCAAGCCGAGCTCGTATCCGAAAGGTCTTCCATTATCGGACCAATGTGGGTGATCCAGTGTAGAAGATCAATGGATCCCGTGGCCGGCTCGTACTCCGGGAGAGCCGGGAGCTCGTTGATGCCTGGTTTGACCGCCTCTGGGCGGTCGCCCTTCCCAGCATGCTGCTGGTTCAAAAGGGCTTCGATGCCCCGCGCCAATGTCAAGAGGAGCTGACCATCTCGTTGATCTGTCGCATCACGGGTCTCCTGAGATTGAAGTGGCGGTTGAATTGGGGGTGGTAGAGGAGGTTGTGGTGCATGTTGTGGTGGGCGTGGTAGCGCATGGGTGCTGCTGGACTGCACGCCATAGTCTGCAGACCGTCTATCATCACGAACCCCAGTGTTCATGCCAAAGAGACCCTGAAAGAATGCCCTCGGGCCAGTGGGTGATTGTGACCTCCCGCGCGTCCTAGTCGCATCACTAAAAAACGACCCACGAGGAGGTTGATCTGCTGGAACTTCTGGTACTCCAGCGCTCATAGCATTACTGAAACTATTCCCTGGGACCGAACCAAGATCCCCGCCGAAAAGTCGAGAGCCTCCGTCACCTGTGGAAGGATGCGGTAGCCGAAGTGGTGCTGGAGGAGGTACAATCTCACCTGAACAACCTTCAGCAAGACCCCGTAGTCGTAGAGGCCCTTGAACAGGTACTCCCGCATCTACATGCCCTTCAGGAGGACCCCGAGGAGGTTGATCTGATGGAACTTCTGGGAGTACTCCAGGGCTCGCTAGAGGAAGAGGAGGTTCAGGGGCAACCATCACATACGAAGACTCCATATTCATACGCGCTTCCTGAAGTTCGAGCTGCTTCCTCAATCTCTGCGCCTCTTGCATTGCCTCCTCGGTTCTCAACTTCTCAACCTGGAGTCTCTGAAGAACGCCACCCATAGCTGCCTCCAACTGCTTCGCCACCTCTGCCTGCACAGCCTCAGGAGAAATTCCCGCTGAACCGCTACTCGAGGGTGCCCTAGGCTCCTCCTGTTGTGGCACCCTCACCATTGGAGATGCCGCCGGAGAAGACACTGGCCATCCCGCCACCGAACCTGTAGCAGCTTGGGCAGATGTCCACGACGTAACTTTTACCCTTCTCTGGATGTAATCTCCCAAACGCGAAAACCAAGTTCCAGCCCGATTGTTCCCCTGGCCCGCTTCAGACACTGGAGACTGACCAGGAAGAGGTGACGGCTGAAACCTTGCAAACAAAGGCTCACCACCAGTTGTATACATCGGAGCGTCATGTCGTTCTAGAGTAGATTCCGGTAGGGGTTGAGGCATAGTTTCATGACCTTCGCGGTGCACCGGGGCTAGTTGCTGATTCTCCGTTACAGCACTTGGATTTCCCTCCAACACAACTGCACTTGGCTGACCTGAGTCGGGCAGAACCGGAGGTACTCGAACATGTGCCTGAGAAACAGCAGGGGCTCCATTCAACATAGGAGCAGGATCCATAGAACCCCTTGACACACTCCCATCACGCAGTGGTTCACGATCGCCTCTGGCATAGTTGGGTCCATGGTCTTCACCGTCAAGCGTTGGGCTCATACCCTGCTGAAGCAAAGGAGCAGAGGTCCCTTCTTGGATCCCATTAATGCTTGCCATGGCACACTGCGAAGGCTCAACTCCGAATCGTTTTCCGCGACTGCAACGTTGATCTGAGGTGCTAGCAATGCATGCCTGCTTAGTCGTGCTTTGCACTAACCCTGTACTGCTGACATGCGGATGCTGCGCGGCCACGCTGGCCAACATTCAACTGCTTGTGCCATCTAGGCTTCAACATGCACGAAACAAGTGCCTCATGATCACATGCGTCCGTGGACATGCCTGACTGCGAGGGTTTCAACAAAAGGGTTTCGGTTTCCATCGATGTGGCAGGCAACTTGGAAGCATTTCAGAGAGACCTCGTTCAATAGAGGGTTCAAAGGGTAGAGTTTCGGTTTCGTATTTGGGGCGAAGTCGCAAGCCTGCTGCAAAAGGATGCAGGGTTTAGGCTTCAGGGTTTAGGGCTTAGTGCATTGCAGTCCCTGCTCAAGTTAAAAGGCTTCAGGGTTCAGCGGGGTAGTTGTGATGATCATGGAAAGTGTTAGAAAGAAGGGGGAGGCCAAGGAGGAGGAAGTACTGGGAGCGGTGACAGGAATCGTTGTCATCATTGTTATTGTTAGTGTCAGCACATGCAGGTAGAATAGGATTTGTAGTGATGGTGTTATCTCGAACGCCACATCGTAGAAGTCGTCGGAATGGACTTCTGATTGCTACGCAGTTGTAGTATGCCGTGATTATGCTGGGCATACAGATTTTCGGGCCAGCCTAGCGCACTCGGCTTATACATGCTTTCGTATGAACCATAAACCTAAGCTCAACAACCATGACCGTGTCCGAATGAAGATTGCGCAGAGCGACTGCGTGTCCAAACTCTACCAAGGTTTAGCAGGAGGCAAAGTTTGACCCCAAACCCTAAACCCGAAACTCCCAGTTGCAACACATCAGTCAAAGTACTCTGGACACCGAAAACTCGAAACCGACCGCCGAGGCCATCGTCGCTGCAGCTGAGATATCGAACTGGTGGCTGCGTCTGGCCATGGGCGACATCATGCACACCTATGTGGACTCGGCGAACCCGCAGGCCCGTGCAGATCTGTTCTGTCAGAGGGCTTTTCAAAAGCGTCGATTTTGTGTTGCAGATTTGCGTACCCATACTGCTAGTAGCCAAGAAAAAGCTGAACGAGTGAAACGATATCCCCAATGCACTAAATCAGCTAAATAGCAGCTGCAGCGAAAGCAGTGTTTGACGGAAGGAAAAGACACTGAATTTCAAACGGCGAAGCTGAATTCGTTGATGTGTCAGGCTCATTCACGGCATTGCAGAAGATATCTCATGTGGGATGAGTTTGTGCTTGCCTGCTCCTGCGTATGCTCTCAAGCGGCCTGCACACACAACGTCGAAGGTGCGCATCACGTATCGAAGACAGGGGCATAACTAAACCAAGACCACTGGCAACAGCAGAAGATCAAGGCGGCCAAAGTTTCAACGAGGGAAGGGCGCAGATCACAGGGACAGAATCTGGGGCTGGCTTCCCAGCATCTCGTCAAGCAGGCAGCAACTGATTAAGGGCATGTTCGGTCTCCAGACGGGCAGTTCGAGTTTGCTACGGGTGGTATCTTGGCCAATGTTTCGTTCTGTCATGGGCAGGTGCGGCTGGCAGCTGTGGATGCAGTGCATCAGCTGGCCGACAAAATGGATGGCAAGGCCTCTGCTCCACGTAGACCTGTCGGTGCATATTTAGGTTTGCCTGCAGTGTTCCCTCATGTTGTCGCCTGATCCTTGTGGAAGAATTGCTTCTTCTGGGCCTTCTTTTGATGGTATCGACGCTGTCTTGCGATGTGTCGCAGAAATCCCTGAACGCCCAACAGCCTCTGAGCACTGAGCCAGGCAACATCCTCCTCAGCACACTGCGCACTTACTTGATACACTTGCCCAAGCATGAGCCCAAGAAGCTGACGTAAGCACCGGATTCAGAAAATTCATTGCCTTATTCAACTACAGGGTTCTTCATCTCGAATCTAGATCCTTTCATGTTGACGAAGACTTCGGAAAACGGTGGTTGCTTAATCATGTGTCTAAATCTAAGCCTAAGCCCCGTGATGCTGACCCCCTTTACCCGAAACCGAAACCCTACTTATGAGTAACTAGGGTTTTAATGAAGGTAACCATACTTATATTTACTTGTAAGCCCAATTATGGTACTTATAACCTAACTTACTAAGTCCCCTGATCCCCCCAAGTAGACCCTAAACCCTAAACCCTATAGATCCCTTTAAGGAACCCTATATAGATCCCTTTAAGAGCCCTTACTAAGTCCCCTGATCCCCCAAGTACCCAGAACTCGCAAGGCGGCTGCTGTGCTTGCGGCCCGGATTGAGGACATCCGCTGGGGTGTCTACTGACTCACGACCGGTGCGATGTAACCTGGTTTAGGAGGGAGTTTCCAGATTCACAAGGGTGCAGTCTTCGGTTGCAAGGCTCATGAGGCTGGAGTCTGAATGTACCGGGCTCTTCTAGCAGCAGCCGAATGGCGATGCCATTCATTTCAGACCCTAGCCATGTTCCCTATCATAAAAGACGCCGTGAAATAGTCTCTTAGAGTATGATGGTTGCTGGTAGATCCCGCTACAAATGAGGGTATGCTTAGGGTTTAGGGGCCTACTTTGCACTGCAGCTCTTCTTGGTACCTGGAAGGACGAGGATGCCGCAGTTGCTGCCGCAGCGTGGAAGGCTGTCACTGCCCGCTTGGAGGAGACCAGTCCCGATGTGACTGGGACGGAGCACAACATCTGCCTGCCGGTGGTTCAGGGGTTTAGGGTTTGGGGTAAAGGGTTTAGGGTTTAGGGTTGAGGGAATGCAGGTGGCAGGGGCTGGAAGGCAATGTCGTTGCAGGTTGTCGCGTTGGACGCCTCTCGAATGACTCGCAATGCTTGTTTTGAGAGACTTCCTCCTGAGTTGTTATCCCACAGAAGACCCTTGAGATCCTTGAGGCGAGGCGCATCGCAGTGGAGTCCCTGGCGGCCCATGCAGCACACCATCCCAAGGTTGGGGCCTCGGGATTTGAGGGTCAGGGTTCGGGCCCGAGTCAGAAAGGTCGCGAAGAACTCGATCGGCAAAGCCCTGGCACCAACAACTGGGTGGCTGTCAAAGTTAGGGTCCCTTTTTGGGTCCTTACCATAATTCGGAACCTAGTATTTAGGGTACCCCAAAAAGGGGCCATAATTTTGACAACCACCCAGTTGCTTTTTTCCTGAGTGCAGTCCTCAACGAAAAGACTGGCATCCCCTCATTGCACGGCTCCATACTGCTTTGAACTTCGAGCGGCGTCAGACTCAACCGTAGAATCGGCGTGGCACCGGAAGAGGTGCCATCTATGCCGGGCACGAACTATTCTTTTCCAAAACGAAACAGCCACGAATGTAGGCGCCTGAACAGTTAGAATCGGGATGAATCGGGTTTTAGGGCAGATTATACCATAGTTTGTAATCAGGAGCACCTAAAATAGTATTGGTAATGATTGAGGCCCTTATAGTACCGAAGCCGCCAGGTTCTGGCTGCGGTCCTGGACAAGCTTGGGGATGGCACCTCGCCCAGTGCTGGCAGACCTTGGGCCAGAGAGACGCTCTCTGGGATTGCGTAGCATCGGACAGTATTCCTTCTCTGTTTGGCGGCCCCAAGCCCTAAAACCCTAAACCCTAAGCCCTAAGCCCTGACCTAAGCCCTAAACCCAAAGCGTGCCTTCGTAAATGAAGCCAGCTCCATCCTACGGCACAGATCCTCTGAGTCTCGATGCCCAGTGGCCGCGCTGCGAAACACCTGGGGTCACACCCGCTTTTGAAAGAGGTACAAAACTACAGTTACCACGATACACTGTAGTAACTTTAGTATTCCTACTATCTTACATGATACAATCATATACTATACTAATACTATACTATGCTGTGCTCGACTGTTCTGTCTACAAAAGTGATAGATTGTCGTGTGACGGGGTGCCGAGAACACAACAGCACTGGCTTTGCATTTTCCGTAAGATAAATTCATGTGAACTAAGCGGGCCGGGATGGCTGAAAGCAACAGGTTTACCAGGGTGCGCGGCGCCAGTGACCAGGAGGTAGATGTGGCCGACTTAGTAGAGTGAGGCGACATGACAGCATGTTGAGAGATGAGGGTTCGAAGCATCTACACTGTCCGGCTCAGCGGCGGCAGTTACGGTGTTCAAGGTTTGTAGGTTTAGGGTCCCAACACCAGCCATTATCTCTGTCAGTCCCAAGCCACCCCAGACCATAGGCAACAATATCCTAAACCTGCCATGCTTGCTGTGGCTTTCGACGGGGTAGCAAAAATCAACTCTAATCTCCAAAACCCAAAGCCTTAAACACTACGCCTTACACTACGCCTTCAACGGCCGTAAACTGCAGGCAACTGGCTTGTCCAGACGGCGGCTTGCCAGGCACTCGAGAAGGCCATGCCCGGAAAGCAGGCGACGGGACCGGAAGATACCAAAAAAAGGTTGCAAGAGGGTTTAGGGTAAAAAGGGTTGGAAATTGGATGAAGGTGCCCCATAGCCTTATCATCCTGAGTCTTGGTCTTCTTATGGTTTGTTTTTGGTATTTTGCTTGTCATCCCTCCCTCCCTCACTTCCTTCCTCCCTACCTCGTCTCCTTCGCTCTCCTTCTCGCTTGCTTTCTGGGCTCTCCTTCACTTTCTTTTGCTATATAAACTGGTTATGGGAAACCTATGTACAGAGTCAAGCATGCGCAAGGCTATCTATGTAATCTATGTATAAATCTATGCAAACATGTAGTCAACCCACCGCACTTCCTCCATTACTTCTTCACTTGCGTACAAAGGCCAGACCTTCAGATTCCCCCAAATCCAAGGCCTCCCTGGTAGCCTGCGAGTGCTTGGAGCACGCGGATGAAAACGTCCGCCGCGCCGCGGCTGCCGCGATGGCCGAGCTCGAGATTGACAAAAGTCAGTGGGATCAAATGTGAGTTGGTCTCCTCTACAGATTTTATATCGCCGGTCGATATACTATGCCGGTGTCATGACTGTCATAGTGCCATCGGCGATGACAAGACGAGACCCACTCTAGCAACTTTCACTTGTACAGGCCCGTTTTCCAGACGCCCGCTTTGCCGAAGACAGGCGCGCTGGCATGATGCAACCCAAAGTGGTTGTGGGGCAAGCATTCTACCCGAAACCCTAAACCCTAGTCCCTAAACCCGTTTCAGTACGGAGGGCTGTCACGAAGAAGTGCGGCCCTTCTTTCCGGGGTGGCCAGCCAACTCGTTTCAAGTCCAGTCATATAAGCAAAAAAATACTGCTATTCCTTAGCGTTCCTTAGGGATATCCATGCTATGATATACCCCTAAACCCTATTCTACCTATATTCCGGCACCTATGGTGCTTTAGCTGGCCGCCGAAGGCTTGGCTTCCTCTGTCACAACTGAATGGCGAAGACGACCCCCCCGAGACGACAAAAGAGATGCTGGGTGCATGCGGGTTTAGGGTTTCGGGTTTAGGGTTTAGGGGCATTGATTGCATCGAGCGGCTTTCTCGCCTTTCAAGCAGAGAGCTTCCACGTTACCTCTTTTAAGACGCAGGGTTTAGGGCATGGGGCCCAGGCTTTCGAAAGAGTTCGAGCCGCTACTTGGAGGTTCAGGGGTAGTGTTTAGTGGGGTTGCAAGTCCCCTAATATGGGTTATACGTATGGTTACCCTACTTATAACCCTACCTATAACTACCCATGAACCTGCAAGTAGACCCTGGCAGGCGCCTGGCGCGCGCCCACGTGTGAGGGAAGCGGGCGCCGTGCGGCAGTGTGCGGCAGTGTGCAGTTTGCCCCATTAGCACGGGACGTTGATTGCACTGCAGTGCCAAAGTATCAGCAGTCACGGAGCTTCACCGCTCGGTTGGGATGGTTTCGACTGACTGCTTGATGTACTGCGCGAGCCACATGAGCAAAGCCTTACTTTGACTCACACACCTGACCTGCATGCAGACCTGGAAAAGCTTCCCGGCAGCCACAAAGCGCAGACAACGGACTTGATGAAAGGCGTGAACTTGCAGCTCAAGCTACAGGTGCCCGTGGCCATTTCTCAGCTTCTTCTGTAGGACTATAGGAGATTAGCCGGGGAGGCCGGGGAGTGCCAGGCGGGGAAGCGCGTGCATAGCTAGGGCAACGCGCTTGATGCTTGTGTGAGAAGTGCCGACATTGCACGCTCTGTGAGGATGAGGAGGCAGCTGAATCGAGCTTCTACTCTTCCGGCACTTCAGCTTGGATGGTTCTTATGCGCCATATGCTTTGTTTTATTGATATGCTTGCAAAGAGAATAAACCCCACCTTCTTTATGCTATAGTTTGGTACTCGGTCTGTGGCAGACGGGCAAGACTCGGCGACTGAGGCAAAAAATGTTCTCCAACAAGTACCTGCCCGGCGAGCACCGAACCGTCGATCAACTTTGGAGGCTAGGGGTTTAGGGTTTAGGGTTTGGGGCTCAGGGTTTAGGGTTTTAGGTTTTCGGGTCGTAGTCTAGTTAGACTTGAGTCATTAGCAAGAGAAGTTTTCGGGTTTGGGGTTTCGGTCTTAGGGCTTAGGGTTTCGGGTTCCATCCTCCCTCTTGCTTGCGTTTCCTCGCTGAGCTGTGTGTGTGACAGGGGGCGAATTTGGATGCTGGCGGTGATCAGGCATGGTGCGTAGTCTTGCATAGGCTGATGCCGACAGGCCATGAAAGAACCCTTCGACTGAGACCAAGGCCGTCGCATCTGCCTCCGTGGTGGTGGTTGCCAGAATTCGGCCAAAGCTACCCAAGGAAAATACCGAGCCAGACGGTAGGCCCCCCGGAAACAGGGCTTTCCTTGCCCTGCGATGTGTCCGCATGCACGTGCTGGTCATGGCCTGGAAGACTGCCGAGGTGTGGAGGTATATTCAGACGGACAGACCATGGGCATCACCAACGGGCGATGTCCCTAATTTTGCTCGTGAGTGCAATCTTGTTGCACTCGAAGAAGCATGTACCTCCAATGCCTTTCAACCTGCAATTCTGATCGGCTGAGGCGTGAGAAGAAACAGTACACGCTGGATCAGGTCTTCGATTCACGAGCCCTGAGATTACAGGCGAGTGCACCAGTCGGGGACTATTGCCTTTTGTGTTGCTCTTTGTGCTCGGACGTGGCTACAAGTAAGCTCGCCAGGCAAGTCCGAGCGTGAGTGCTGAAACCGAAACCTTAAACCCCAAATTCCGACCTCGCCTGGTATTGCCGAGTGTGAGCGTCAAAAAAACCCTGAAAGCCCCCTCGTCGCACCGAGAGACCTTGTCTGGCTTGTCCCCCCCCCTCCTGGTTCGCAGACGGCTCGATCGGACAACAGCACGGAGAAGAGCCCGCGGCCCGTGGAGCCGGGATCCCAGTCGGTCTTGATCAAATCTTACATGGGGGAAGATGAATTTCGGGTTTAGAATTTACTGAGTTTACTAGTTCTTAGGATTCAGGCTTTTTTGTTAAGGGTTTCGGGTCATTTGGGCTTTGGAGGTTGAGGTTTTGCCTCTTGCCGTGAAAGCAAGACTAGATACAAACATGATCGTTCATTGCACTAGACTGTGCACGAAGGCTGTGAACGCAGCTCCACTACAATAGCCACGAGAAGTCTAACAGCCGTCGGAATTGCAACCGCCCGAAAGCATCCCGAAGTGCAAAACAGGTGCACCCTTCACCTTTCTAGTGCTCCGTGGGTATACTAGCTAGAACATGGACCGACAGCAGACTTTCAATCACTTGTGAGTTGTTTGCCAGTGTCGTCGAACTGCGAAGCAATGTCGACGGGCCGGATACACTAAACACTGCTGCCCTAATGCACGCGGCAGAATTTGCACATGCATAGACAGTAGCATGGATGGACAGGGGCAACACACGCTCTTTGCAGCTACCATCATTATTAATTGTATTTCTCCTCATCTTTACTCGCAGCTTACTAGCACTTGTACAATAGTATACTTACTATTCGAGCTATTGCCATATTTTCGACTCTTATCGTTGCCGCTATTTCTCCTTCTTCTTCTCATTTCAATGTGTGTTGTCGTTGCTGTCATTGTTTTTGTTGCGGTTATCATTGTGATAGTTACTATACTGTTACTATTATGCTTATCCGTATTCTGACGATTGTCATATTTGTCAGAAGGGGCCCCAACCCTGTAATGGTGGTATAATAGGAATATAATAGGGCCCTGATATAATCCTTATAGTCACTATTACAGGGTGGGGGCAGCTTGAAATATCTAGTATAAATAAAAATAGTGAATAATATATGGTATTCTGACCATGGTCATTTTAGTAATCTTCTCCGAAGAAAACTTTCTCCGAGCTCGTGTTCCACCGCCGATTTTTCAGGCAGCGGAGGGCCGAAGCCGCCGAGTCCCAGGCTTTAGCCGAGCCGAATTCGGAGTTTTTCAGAATCTTCTGTGCGAGAGGTTAGGTTTCCGTAAAGAAAAACATGATAAGGGTCTAGAGTTCGGGGTTTAGGATTTCGAGATGTTAGGTTTCCTTAAAAGAACATGATTAGGGTCTAGGGTTTGGGGTTTAGGATCTTTTGGGTCATGGGCTAGAGCTTACGGTTTCGGTTCCGTGGTGGTCGCGGGAATCTTAGTCTTCTTTATAGTGCAAGTCCCAAGCCCCAAGCCATCTAACCCTCCAGGATCTGTCCCCACAATGGATGAGCTGAACTCGAATCCTTTGGGTTTTAGGAAGTTGCTGTGTCTGTGCCGGGAAGGATGTCACATCGGAGCTAGCTGATGTGCTGCCACAATCAATGATGTGCTGTGTCTAGTTGCGTCCCAAGCCTCGCCTCACATCGCCGAGCGCCCATGCTAACAAGAAACATTACATCGCGGGCGGTGAGAGCCGCAGGCATTAGCGACCCACCGCCCCTGTAGGCACAGTTCTTCTCCAACTTCGGCCGCAGTTTGGTGACGGCCTCGCTGCCCGCGCCTGAGTTCTACGCACTGTCTGCGCAGGCTTAGGGTTAATTGCTTTTGGGTAGCAAGTCCAGTGTCAAAACAGGGCTTAGGGGTACAGTCCAGGGCTTTGGGTCTAGAAAGTGAGCTGAAAACACTTTAACACGACCTTAATCAAAAACAAAAGCAAAAATAGCGTTCCCTGGTCACTTGCGTGCTCCATGAGGACCGGGTACAATGTCTGCGTTTTCGCCTATGGGCACACAGGGTCCGGAAAGCGGCTCGGCCTTCAATTTCAAATCGAACGGCCTGGAGTAGGGGGTTTAACAGTTAAGCCCTAAGCTCAAATCTGTAAGGCGCCGTAAGCCCGTATCTCTGACAGAACCTGAAACCTAAACGCCTGTAGAAGGATACCGCTTCGTAGCTTCGAGGACTTCTGATGTTGAGAAGGCCTTAAAGGCAAGGCTCGATTCCAGCGAGCACCGCCATGGTTCTGCGAAAAAGAGAAACTCTAAACTCTAAACCCTAACCCCAAAGAGTCTTCGGGTTCAGGCTTCTGGATTTTGGAGGATTTGAGGGATTCAGGCTCTGGAAGACACTTCAGAGCGTGGGGAGCAGGCCTCAGTCTTGGTCTTCAGGGTTCATACATCTTATATACATATACATGCAGACATGCATATATACATACAGACAGGCAGATAGATAGATAGACAGAAAGATAGCTGGATAGACTGATACATAGGCAGGGAGATAGATAGATGGGTAGATTTACACACCCACGCATACGTACATAGAAACGCAGACAGACAGACAGACAGACAGATAGAGAGATAGATAGATGGGTAGACCTATGCCCCATGCCCTACAGACACCGAGACCTGCACTGCCGAGGACTTACACCATGCTTGGGGATGCGGCCGGCTCCAACCGCGGGGCGGCAGCGGGGTGACGTCCTTAGGATCCGAGTCGTCTTCGGGTTTGGTTTTCAGGGCCGCGTGGGAGAGCGTGGCTATAGTAGCGCTACCCAGGGAGAGTTGACGTTC